ATATTGTAACTATATCTATCACAAAATTTTGGCCAATTCAACTTTTTTTTACAAGTGTACAACTCATTGACAGTAATTAAAATTGGCTGTGTGACCCTATCCTCAATTAATGTAATTTTTCCATCACTGTTCACACTCCCTATTCTCCCTCCCTCCTGTTCCTCGTAACCACTAATAAACTTTGCTTTCTATACATTGGCTGTTGTTGTATTTTTATGTAAATGAGGTCTTATAATGATGTCATTTTGTAATTGGCATCCATATCGTATCATGTATCAAGACTTTGTTTCTCCTACTGGCTAATATTCCACTGTATATATGTGTCACATTTTGCTTATCCATTTGTCTGTTGATAGGCATTTAGGTTATTTCTATCTTTTAGCTATTGTGAATAGTGCTGTGATGATCACTGGTGTACAAGTTTCTGTTTGAATCTCTGCTTTCAAGTATTCTGAGTATATTCCTAGACTTGGAATTGCTGGGGCATATGGTAAGTCTATTTCTCAGATTTCTGAGGAACTCAAAATGGCAATATCATTTTGCATTCCTACCAGCAATGGATAAGGGTTCTAATTTTCCCACCTCCTCATCAACATTTGTTATTTTCCGCTTTTGTTTTTTCTTTCTTTTTATCTTATCCTTACTAGTGGAAGTGAAATGGTATCTCAGTGTGGTTTTGATTTTCATCTTTCTGAGGGCTAATGGCATTGAGTATCTTTTCATGTGTTTGATGGCATTTGAATGTCCTCTCTGATGAAATGTCTATTCAAGTCCTTTGTCCAGTTTATAATTGGGTTATTTGCCTTTTTGTTATTAAGTTGTAGAGGTTTTAAATATATTTTGGTTACTAAATTCTTATTGGATATATGGTTTCCTAAGATATTCTCCCAGTCTGTACCTTGTCTCACCACTTTTTTGGTTTAGTCTTTGATGAACAAATGTTTTAATTTTTATGAAATTTTGTCTTTTGCTGTTTGTGCTTTTGTTATCATGTTAGATAATCCATACTTAAAAGCTAGGTCTAACAGAGTTGCCCCTACATTTTCTTCTAATAATTTTTGTGATTTTGGTTTTTACATTTAGGTTCTTAATCCATTTTGCATCTGTATTTTTGTACAGTGTGAGTTATGTATTCATTTTTATCTTTCTTCATATGGAAATCCAATTTTCCCAACACCATATAATGATGAGACTCTTTCTGATCAAATGGACTTAGTATACTTGTCAAAAATCAGTAGACTACAGATGTGGTTCCAACTCATAGCGACCCTTCTTTGGGTTTCCGAGGCAGTATCTCTATGGAAGTAGATGGCCCAGTCTTCCTTCCAAGGAGTGGCTGGTGACACCCTTCTGGTTAGCAGTCGAATGCCTGAGACACTATGCCACCAGAGGTCTTATAGAAGTGTGGGATTATTTCTGGTCACTCAGTTCTATTCCATTCGTCTATATGTCTATCACTATACCAGTACCAAGCTGTTTTGATTACTATAGCTGTGCAGTTCTTTTAAAATAAGGAAGTATGAGTCCTCTTCTTTTGTTCTTCTCTTTCCACGTTGCTTTAGCAATTTACAGCCTCTTGTCATTCCATATAAAGTAGAGGTTTTATTTTATTTTATTTTATTTCATTTATTTAAAGAAGGCTGCTGGAATTTTGATAGGGATTGCATTGAATCTATGCAGGCATACCTTGTTTTATTGTGCTTCACTTTATGGTACTTTGTAGATATTATATTTTTTCATAAATTTAAAGTCTGTGGCAACCCTGCAAATAGCATGTCTATTGCCTCCATTTTCCCAGAAGCATGTACTTACTTCATATCTCTGTATCACATTTTGGTAATTCTCACTGTATTTCAAACCTTTTTTATAATGCTATTGCACAATTAATAGACTACAGCATGGTGTAAGCATAAGTTTTATATGTACTGGGAAACCAAAAATTTGTTTGACTTGCTTTCTTAAGATATTCACTCTATAGCGGTAGTCTGAAACTGACCCCATAGTATCTCCAAAATATGCCTGAGATCACTTTGGGTAGTACTGACATCTTAACAACATCGAATCTTCTAATTCATGAACATGGAACATATTTCCATTTATTTAAATCTTCGTTAATCTCTTCCAGCAGTGTTTTATAATTTTCATTATATAAATCCTTCATATCCTTGGTTAGTTATTCCTAAGTATTTTATTCTCTTAGATACTACTGTAAATGGAACTGTTTTCCAAATATCCCTTTCAAATTTGTCCTTGTTTGTTTATATAAACTCAAATGGTTTTTGTTTGTTGAACTTGTGCCTTCAAACACTGGTAAATTCCTCTTTTAGCTTTGAAATTTTTCCTGTCAACTCAGATTTTCTACATATAGATACATATCATTTGAAAATAGACGTAACTGTACTTCTTCTTTTCCAATCTGGATATCTTTCTTTTTCTTGTCTTATTGCTCTTGCTAGGTTGTAGTATACTTTTTGAGTCTCTTTCCTGTGCGTGACAGTTATTATTTTTATAGACGAACAAATCTCTGTGCAGTATGTTTTAGTTATATCTTAGGTGCCATCGAGTTGGCCAGACTCATAGTGACCGCTCCTTGGGTTCCGAGGCAGTATCACTACGGAAATAGGATTGCCCAACCTTCCTTCCGAGGAGTGGCTGGTGGGTTTGAACTGCCAGCCTTCTGGTTAGTAGTCAAGTGCCTTAGCCACTATGCTACCACAGCTCCTATTGTTATAATATATAATATAATAATAAATTTATTATTTATAATAAATTTACTATAGTATATAATGTAATAATATATAATAATATATTTGTTAATATTTAATATTATTATAATAAAAGTATTAAACATATATATATTTTTTAAATTGTAATTTGGGTGAAAGTTTACAGAGAAAATTCACTTTCCATATAGCAGTTCACATACACTTTGTCTCAAGACATTGACCACTATTTACCCCAATGCAACAGCTCCCTTCTCACTTCTTCTCGATAGTTACCTCTTCCTTATGTCCTTCCCTCCACGCACTCCTGCCCCCTGAGCTGTCTCCCTGTGCATAAGCAGCCCTTCTTTCTCCCATGATTGTTCTCTCCAAGGAGTGTATCTACCTCAGGTAAATATTCAACTCATATGCCTTTCTTTTGTTTGGCTGGAAGCCACAGGTGTGGATTCCATTCCCGACTTGAAGGGCAGCTAGGGGCCATAATCTCAGTGATTCCACCAGGCTCTTTGAGGCCAGCAAAACTGGTCCCCCCTCTGCCTTTTTTTTTCCCCAAATGATTTTGAGTTTTGTTCCACATTGTTCTCCCTCTCTACCCAGGATCTCCTATATAGATCCCCCTCTGAGTGGTTGACAGTGGTAGCCAGGCACCATCTGGTTCTTTTGGTCTCATAGTCATATAGGCTGAGGATCGCATGCATAACACATATTTTTGAGGGATATAATTCAATCTATAACATAATGGAAGTAATGAATTCCTACTATGTTCTCTCAGAGTTTGAAGTATTATTTTCTGTACTAACTGCATTTTCTAGGGCATCAAAATAACAACTAAATAGCAGCAAAATAAACCAAAGAACAAATAAAACAAATGTTAAAATGAAATATTCTTGCAGAAAAAGATAACATTCACTATACATAGAAGAACTATTTAGGCTTTTGCTTATACCTGCTCTGGTTTTATTTTGAAAAATGTGACTTGCTTAGTTACCCAATTTCTCAGCCAAAATATTTTAGAAATAGGAAAGTAGATGGGATCACTGCAGGTAGCCACACTGAAACAGGGAGAATGGCTAGAGGAAGTCTGACAATAGTAGAAAAATATATAGAAACTAACATAAATAGGGAAAAAGCAGAGCAATGTGAGGCCATTTAGTGAGGAAGCAAATAGTCCAAAGCAGCTTAATTGTTCCTGAGGTCATGGTTTTACAGCTACTACAATAAAAGTCATAAGAAACATTCAAATAAAAATGTTGGAATATTCTTTGGATAAAAAGTAATCCAGGTAGTCAAATAAAATAATAATAATAAAAGTATTAAACTTTCAGCTATTGGAAATACTTGATTCTTCAGAATAAATCATTTTTCAATGATTACTATTTAAGTACTATATTTAAAATACTGGCTTTTGTATTGAGAAGTATATGTCTACATTAAAGATCTGATAAGAAAATGTGTAACTCAAAGAGAAGAAGGTAGTACTGCTTAATTACAAAGCTACTGCCATTTGTATTTCATTTGTTGTTGTTGTTGTTATGTGCCGTCGAGTCAGACCCGACCCATAGAGACCCCTCCTTAGGTTTCCGAGGCAGTATCACTACGGAAGTAGATTGCCCCATCTTCCTTCCGAGGAGTGGCTGGTGGGTTTGAACCGCCAGCCTTCTGGTTAGCAGTCAAGTGCCTTAGGCACTACGCTACCAGAGCATTTCATTAGTGATGACAAATTAGCTGTCTAATTGAAAATATTTTTTTTTAGGTAAAAGGTTTATTAAGGTTGGATCAGAATTCTGCAGAGAGGGATATATCTGAACAAGAAGGAACTAAAACAGAGACTATGCAAATAGGTCCCCTGGTTTTCTCTTTGATATCCTTGATCTAAGGCCTGAGCCAATATTTCTCAATCAAGCAGGATGTGAAGGGGCTCATATCCTACAGGAAATCAATCTCAAAGAAGGAACTTTGTGGGTGGTCTTGTAGCTGCAAAGTGAAAAAGAAACAAACCTGGACTATATTATTTCATACTGAATGTATTAGTAATATCAGAAGCTTGGAGAGAATACCATTAAAATCTGATACTTTGCCTAATGCTCACATATAAGTATTCTTCATTCCTGTTGACAAAGCAGGACAAATTTTCCCAGCCTTTCTCATGAAAACCCTCTAGCCAAAGGATGGCACTGTATTGCCAGAACAAGTAAGATAGTTTCACCTATTTCTTGTTGAAAATTAGTTAAATAATTTTACATTCATAAAAATTATTATAATTCAAAGAAAAATTACCTTTAAGGCTGTTTTGAACTTCTAAAGCTATATCAAGGGCATTAAAAGGCAGAACTGGTTCATTGGCAATTTGTAAAATCACTTCTCCTGTGAGCTGAAAGAAAAAGAAAAAAAAATTGATAACATTTGATAATTAAGGGGATTTGATTTTGTGTTTTTTTTTTTAGATATTCTTATATATCAGAGGAAGCAAGAACACTGAAGAAAAAAATATAATTGTATAAAATCTGTTTTTCCTTCATATTTTTTTTAATTTTTTTTCTATGAAAAGAACAACCCTCAATATCATGTCCATGTTCAGAGTAGCATGAAGAAATATAATAATGTACATTGTTATGAGCTAAAAGATTATGATATAATTTCCCTTGTAGAATAAGTCATAATATTAAACTTTAAAATAATTCCTCACAAAAGAGTTCAAGAATGTCACAAAATAAAATAAGTATTAGAGAAGAACAACAGACAATCAATGTCTAGTCATTGGACTACATAAAATTCTAGATAAAATTTATAATTAATTAATTTCTTTAAAATATTACTTAACCTAGAAAAAAGTCCCTCCAAAATGTTGTTGTTGTTGTTGTTATGTGCCGTCGAGTCAGCCCCGACTCATAGT